GATGGAGACTCAAATCGGGCCAGAAAAGCATATGCTCGAGGCCGCCACAGAAAAATTGAAGTGCAACAAGTTGAGGAAAACGGTCCAGTGATGAATTTCGGGCCAGCAGATGTGGGGGAGGTCGAGAGACCTCACAATGATGCTCTAATGATCACTGCTCAAATATCAGGTTATGAAGTGCAGAGGATTTTTGTCGACACGGGAAGCTCAGTGAATGTGATCTTTTACAATTGCCTTAAACGGATGGAACTCGACATCGAGCTTGCACCCCTGCACACCTCACTTTTTGGGTTTAATGGCTCAGAAGTCGCACCCCTAGGAGAAACCACACTCGATGTCGTCCTCGGGGAAGGCGATTTGAGAAAAGTAAAAATGGTGCGGTTTGTTGTAGTCGACGTCTAGTCGACTTATAATGTGATTCTAGGAAGGCCAGCGCTCAACGCATTCCAGGCGGTAGTGTCGACCTACCACATGAAGCTGAAGTTCCCCGTCGAAAATAAAGTAGGGGAGGCCCGAAGAGACCAGAAGCTATCAAGAACTTGTTACCAGATAGCTGTGAAAATAAACCAATGAACAGAAGTTGAGGGAAAGAAGTCGGCAATGAGCGAGAAAAGGCCAAGAAATAGTGATCTCGAACCGCACGGGGAGCTAATGGAGATACAAATCGGAGAAACGAAGGAACAGACCACCAAGGTCGGGAAAGATCTGAAAGACGAGCTGCGAAACCAACTCATCACACTACTAAAGAGTTCAGGGATGTCTTTGCCTTCACCCCTGAGGAGTTGACGGGGATCGACCCCACTATTATGGAGCATAAGCTCAACGTCGACCCCCTCAGAAAGCCAATGAAACAACGACTTAGACGCCATGGTGAGGAAATCGACAAAGCAATTGAAATCGAGGTGGATAAGTTGTTGCGAGCAGGACACGTCAAAGAGATCCAATTTCCTGAGTGGATATCCAACACCGTGATGGTAAGAAAGGCATTAAACAAATGGCGCATGTGCATCGACTTCCGTGACTTGAACATGGCCTGCCCAAAAGATCATTATCCCTTACCACGAATTGATCAGCTCGTCGACTCTACGGCTGGTTGCGAATTACTAAGCATGATGGATGCATCTCAGAGATACCATCAGATTCCATTGTGCCCGGAGGATCAGAGTAAGGTGAGTTTCGTGACGAGTAAAGGGACGTATTGTTATGTCGTCATGCCCTTTGGGCTTAGGAATGCTGGAGCAACCTACCAACGGTTGATGGATCGAATGTTTAAATCTCATATTGGGCGAAATATCGAGGTATACGTGGACGATATCTTGGTAAAGAGTAAGGCTTCAACCTCACACCCAGATGATTTGAGGGAAACGTTCACAACCCTTAGGGCGTTCGGGATGAAGTTGAACCCAAACAAGTGTGCCTTTAGAGTAAAAGCCGGACGATTCTTGGGGTATATTGTCACAGAGCGAGGAATCGAAGTAAATCGGGAGAAAGTGAAAGCCATACTCGACATGGCTCCACCAAGAAATATAAGAGATGTGCAAGTTCTGACGGGGCGAATTGCGGGGCTGAGCAGGTTCATCGCTCGAGCCGCAGAAAAAAGCTTCCCGTTCTTCAGATTACTCAAAAAGAGGTCGATCTTCTCATGGAGTGATGAAGCACAAATGGCCTTCGTAAAGTTGAAGGAATTCTTGGGCGAGTTGCCTCTACTGACAAAGCCAGAGCCCGGCGACGAGCTGGTGCTTTATATATCTGTGGGTTCGGTATCATTAAGTTCAGTGTTATTGCAAGAAGAAGGAGGTGTCCAATAGCCAATTTACTACACCAGTCGAGTTCTTCAGGGCGCAGAGACAAGATACTCTGAGATCGAGAAAGCCGCTTTAACGCTGGTGATAACGGCTAGAAAACTAAGGCCATATTTTCTGAATCATGTAGTAGTAGTCAGGACGAACTTCCAGCTGGGTGAAACATTGGGCCAACCTACGGTATCAGGCCGACTCGTTTAATGGGCAGTCGAGCTGAGCGAATATTCCCTTAAGTATGAGCCGAGGCGAGCCATAAAAGCTCAAGCCCTAGCAGATTTCATCCATGAAGGTACCAAGGGAGAAGAAAAGAAATGGATCATGCACGTCGATGGGTCCTCAGCGGCCAAAGGGTCCGGTCTGGGAATCGTCCTCGTATCACCCGAGGGCGAGCAACTGGACTTTGCTATTAGAATGGGATTTAAGGCCTCAAATAACGAAGCAGAATACGAGGCGTTAATCAAAGGAATTCAACACGCAATTGGTGGAGGAGCGTCAGAAATTGTGGCACATTCCGACTCACAACTAGTTGTTGGACAAGTGTTGGGAAGTTGCGAGATCAAAGAAGAACGGATGATGAAATATGTCGAAGAAATCCAAAGTCTTGTGCAGGGCCTGGAGAAATTTGAACTAACACAAATCCCTCGAGAGGAAAATAAACGCGCAGATTGGCTCGCGAGAATCGCGAGCTCGAATGATGGGAAGATGGGAAACTCTATCACCACCATGCATCTAGAGGGAAGCGTGTTGGGCGAAGCTATGTAAGTCGAAGAGAAATAAGATTGGAGGATGTCGATTCGAGAGCTTTTGCAAAGAAAAATACCTACCGGGGATAAGCAGGAAGCCAAAAGGGCCGCTAGATACCTAACTAAGTATTTCGAAATTGGGGGAGTGTTATACAAGAGGTCATATATCGGACCCCATTTAAGATGTATTTCTGAAGACGAGGGAAATTATGTCTTGCGGGAAATTCATGAAGGATGCTGCGGGGCTCACATCGGATCTCGGGCTTTAGCTGGAAAGGTGCTGCGCGCCGGCTATTATTGGCTAAAAATCAGGAGAATGGCCGAGCAGTTAGTACAAGAGTGCGAAAGATGCCAGCGTCATGGCCCGATCCCTCATATCCCCGCTGAAACTATGACGACAATCAGCTGCCCGATCCCCTTTTCTTAATGGGGAATCGACTTGGTGGGACCTTTGCCAATGGGGACCGGGCAAAGAAAATTCCTGGTAGTCGCAGTCGACTACTTGACCAAATGGGTCGAAGCAGAACCGCTGGCAAAAATTACTGAGGAGAGAATGATCCAGTTCCTATTCAACAACATCTGCTGTCGATTCGGGATCCCGAAGATATTAATTTCAGATAATGGAACTCAGTTTCAGGGCAAGCGAATCCAAGCATGGTGCCTTGAAATGGGAATCAAGAAGAGGTTTGCTTTAGTCG